AGTAAGATGGGACAATGGAACAGAAAGCAGTGCGTGTTGTTTTCTTCTTAAGATTTTTATATTCATACTGGATGAGAATGTCTCCTAATCCTCCCCTTGCTGTTTTTCTTGGAATGGGTGCCTTATTTGTGGCTTCTTACCTGGCGGGAGCAGATTCAGGACAGAGGCTTTGCACGCTCCTAAGTACCTCCTAAGTGAGCACCCCCCTTCCCCCGCGACTCCTGTTGGGCATGCAAGATTTCCTGGGCACTTGGAGTTATATGGAAACTGTCTTCCTTCTTGGCTGTGCGTGTGAAAGTTGCCCCAAGGTTTCACGGGCAGCGTGAGTGTAATTTGCAGTCCCGTGACACAATCATCTTCCTTTTGACTTCTGAAGCTGGGGTCGGGGACGGGGACTTGTTTTGATCCACCAGGCATTTTAAGGGTACCACTTCATATGTTCACGTTCTCCAGCCAACACTGTATTCTAGACAAATGGGTACCTTTATGTCCCACTTACTAAGACATCCTGCAAAAGGGGCTCCCGGCCCCTGTGGGAAGCTTGAAAGGAACAGACCATACCCCATTTCTTTTTGCTCATACCTCTGTGGGAAACCTTATTCTGACCTCAAGGTCCAGTGCCATATTTGTGGGTCCCTGTATCCCCTAGAGTTCCCTTTATGCTAGTGTTTAGCCCATGTAATAACAGTTAACTGTCCACAGGGCTGCAGCTCACGCCGGCTTATAAACTCCATGAAGAGAGGCCCCGGGTCTCGCTCAGTCCTGTCTACAGCAGGGCTTCCCACGTTAGGTCTTAACTAACATCTTCTACTCTTCGTAAAGTTCACACTTCTTCTCACCCCCTGCCATCCCTGATCGCCACTTTCACCCTGCGTGTGTTGGCACGGGGATCTACATGTGGTCACCACCCGACACGCCCACTGGCCTGTCATCTGAGACCCCTGGCAGTGGGACTTCCACCCTGGCTGTGCCCCATTCCCCACTGTCTTCACCCCTGCCACCTCCGGCCCCTGGAGTTCTCCCTTTCTCCCCCTGCCCAGGCCCCTGGCCCCTCTGAAGCCTCTCCTGACCGAATAATCCATCAGCCTGCCCTGAGCTCATCACGTCCCCAATGATGATTGTGCTCTCCAGCATCAGGACACGCCAGAGCACTTTCTCTGTCCCTGCATACTGGATATTCTACGGTTAGGTCCTGGGGTCACATACAGACATTCCACAGCCCCTCCTCAGGGATTCTCCAGCAGTGTGCAGCACAGTGCCGGGCTCCTAGGAGGCAGCTGGGGGATATTGACCCATGATTTTAAGAGATCTGTCTTGACCAGGAGCGTTGAGAAGCGGCCTGTGTCTCCGCAGCATTGCTGCTGGTTAGACCCTCCGCGGAAAAAGTGGCATGTCCCTTCTGCACATGGCTTATGGGGACTGGCACTTCCTGCATTTGCCCCCACCACGCCCCGTGGTTTCCTTTGTCATTGTCTGTTTTTATGTTTTAAACTTGAGTGGGACTAATGTCTTAAGTCTGCTCCGTGTCCTCCTGGTAAATTGTAAACTCAGTGAATCAATGATGAGTAATCAATAGGCAGAAACGGTTGGAATTTCCTGGTCCCAGTTTCAGATGGTATCTGCCTTTCCCCAGACTCTTAACTTCTTGTTGGGACATCCCTTGGTCTGGCCTTTGCTTCCAGAAAAGCCCCCAGACCTACCCACAGCCTTGACTGACTGATGCCTAATTTCATTTTAGTCTTTCACACCAGTTTTAACAATGTGATTTTATGGACCATCTGGAAATTTTACCCAAAAATGTGAGCTGTGCCATCCCCTCACAGGGGAATATGGTGGGGTGGGGGTTGGGGGTTTCACGTGTTGAAAATCTGTATATCATGTTTTATTTGAGTTAGCTGTGTTGTCGCAACAACTCTGAAAGTTAACATTATTATTTCTACTTTGTAAATTTAAAAAAAAAAAGCCTAAAAAGGATTAAATAGCTTGCCAAGGCTGTGTAACAAGTGGCAGAAGCGCAATTTGAATCTGAATCTTTTATGATCTCAAAGCTTAAGCTGCCTGTCTTTCTATTCCCAGTTCAAATGTGCCTTGAAATGGGAGCTCACTTGATAGTACTTGGCTTTTAAAAGGCTGCATATAGGACCGGGTGCGGTGGCTCACGCCTGTAATCCCAACACTTTAGGAGACAGAGGCGGGCGGATCACGAGGTCAGGAATTGGAGACCATCCTGGCCAACGTGGTGAAACCCCGTCTCTACTAAAAATGCAAAAATTAGCCGGGCGTGTTAGCACACGCCTGTAGTTCCAGCTACTCGGGAGACTGAGGCAGGAGAATCGCTTGAACCCAGGAGGCAGATGTTGCAGTGAGCTGAGACCATGCCACTGCACTCCAGCCTGGCAACAGAGCAAGACTCTGTCTCCAAAACAAAAGGCTGCATATAAGTACCTTCACTCAAATATGCTGGAGCTCAGGAGGAGCGGCAAAGAAAGGAAAAGATACTGATGGGTCGATTTGATTTTAAGCAGAGACTGACAGAGATACGCTTCTAAGACCTTTCAGACTCCAGAGTGTGACTGTCGAGCACCTAAGATCTCGCTTGACCGCTGACTTCCTGCCAGAGCCTCAGGAATCCCATTAGTGCAGCGTGCTCGCTGGCTGGGCTGCAACTCGTGGCTCTCCTCTGCGACGGCAGGCTGGCTTCTGCCCCTAGACTCGAACTGCGAAGGGCTGCCATAGAAGGGACGGACATCCAGTGCTCACGAGGAGGCAGGGGCATTCTGGGAAGCTGAAACTGCATTTATCAAGCTCAGGTCCTCATAATTGAGAAATCCCGTCACTAACCCATACGGTTTTCTTGACCAAGCCTTTCAGTGCTCTGGATTCCCCACCTATAAATAATGTTCATACATCTGAATCAGGCGTCCCCTAACTACGGCCCGCGGGCCGCATGCGGCCCCCTGAGGCCATTTATCCGGCCCCCCGCCACACTCAGGAAGGGGCACCTCTTTCATTGGTGGTCAGTGAGAGGAGCACAGTGTGTGGCGGCCCTCCAACAGTCTGAGGGACAGTGAACTGGCCCCGTTTAAAAAGTTTGGGGACGCCTGATAGGAGGCCACAGGGACAGTGGTTAGAAAGCTCCCACATTCTCTAGAGGAGGGACAGAGAGGATGAAAGCAGCATGCTCTATAATTAGGTTATATTACATGCTTTTGAAGGTTAATTGAAGGACTTCCCAGCAGCTTAAACTAGCTACTTTTTCAAACACTGAAAGCTTCCAGAAAGCAGTAGACGGGTGTTCCTCACAATATGACGCGGACCTCGGGTACTGTTGAAAAGTGAAAAAGGGCCGGGCACGGTGGCTCACAGCTGTAATCCCAACACTGGGAAGCCGAAGTGGGCAGATCACCTGAGGTCAGGAGGTCCAAGACAGCCTGGCCAACATGGTGAAACCCCGTCTCTAATAAAAATACAAAAATTAGCTGGGTGTAATGGCGTATGCCTAAAACTCCAACTGCTTGGGAGGCTGAGACTCAAGAATCGCTTGAACCCGGGAGGAGGAGATTGCAAAGAGCCGAGATCCTGCCACTGCACTCCAGCGTGGGTAACAAAGTGAGACTCGATCTCAAAAAAAAAAAGTAAGAGCTCCTGTCTGACACCGGTTTCTATCCTCATTTGTATAATCAGACAATTTTGGAAACATGCTATTCTGATGGTGTTGAAATATTCCAGAATTCTGTGTGATTCAGTAGCTTCATGTTGGTTTGATTGTTATGTTTACCCCAGTACCTCTTCCTTCCCATCTGTACTTCTCAGCTTGATTTTTCGGATGTATTTTTCTGTTGGAGGAGAGCATCAAATGGGTTTTTCTGACCATTTCTTTTACTGGCCAAGCTCCTCTTAGATTTGAATCTCAACTCTGAAGAATCCTCCCAACATACTCTGTTCCTGTTTTGTTATCCTCTTGAGAGCTTCCCAGTCGCTGAAGAGCGTGGCTTAGAGAGACCACCTGCCAATCACAAACCATTGTCTTCACCGTTCGGTTCCGACCCCTGCATCTGGGCCACATCCTCCCCTCTGGCCGGTAAGCACAGGGAATGTTCTATGGCCTCGGCTGTGTTCAGGCTCCTCGCTGGAGCTGTAACCATTAACTTAGAAACTGCAACTGGTGGTAACTTGACAGGACAGAGCTCTCTTCATCAGACTGCTGAGTCACGCAGCCTATTGCGAGGTAAAATGTGAGTGTTTTGAGACGTAACCTCCTATAAGGATACCCCCTGGGAGCCACTGTGAAGGCATCCCCAGCTTCCCTGGCGGGTCACATCAGGGGGATGACTGAAGGATGTATGTGAACAATCATTGATCAGAAATGAAGACCTCTACGACCTAAATATCTTAACACATTGCTTTTACACCTTCCTCTCTTGCAGTGCAGCTTAAGATGCATTCCCTCCTACCTGGTCTAACTTTACAGACAAAATGCCAGGCACCTTCCATTCTTCTCAATTGCCCTCCGCCTGGTTCTGAAGCAGTCACAGACTGTCCTTGAAGGCAGGCGCAGCCTGGACTGCTCCAGCACTAGGCTGCAGAATCAGTGGTGAAAACAGAAACCCTTTCCCATCTCCTGTGCAGGATCCTTGCCTGCCTTTCTTCTGTGATGGGATCTGTAGGCTTAGACTTGTTTCCTTTCCTAAGACATCCTGCTGAGCAAACCTTGCAGCTCTGCCTCATGTCAGCAGACGGTTTCCTTAGCAATGGCCACACCTCGCGTCTTCTCCAGCACCGAGAGCACCAGCGTGAGAGGCATGTGCTCCTCACTCGACAGGAGCTTTCCCAACCTGTGTGTCTTAAGCAGGAAAGAGAAGGTGCTTTCTGTTTCTCATGTTTAAAAACGCATCTGTTGGTGAAACTGGTGGAGAAACATGCTTATGAGAAAACCACTTTTTCTTCTGCTGTCAATCTAGGATATTTCCTAGGAGCTCATAGTGTCATTTACATTCCAGGTGCTGATCTTCTGAACAAATGCCTCCTGAGGATTTCTGTGCCTGGAAAATAACTGACAACAGATTGCTTTTATACCCTACGTAAGGAGAGGCTTCTGCTTGTAAGTCAACGTCAAGGGAGTTTTGTTTTATTTTGTCCCTGGATGATTCCTCAGTACATTTTTATTTTCTTTTTTGAAATAGGGATTTGCCCTGCTGCCCAGGCTGGAGTACAGTGGTGTGATCACAACTCACTGCAGCCTCAACCTCCCAGGCTCATGCGATCCTCCCACCTCAGCCTCCTGAGTAGCTGGAACCACAGGCGTGCACCACCATGCCTTGCTAATTTAAAAAAAAATTTTTGTAGAGACAGAGTCTCCCTGTTTTGCCCTGGTTTCAAACTCTTGGGCCAAGTGATTCTCTGCCTCAGCCTCTCAAAATGCTGGGATTACAGGTGTAAGCCACCATGCCTGACAAGCCCGATACATTTTTTTTAAATGGTTGTAAGTATTTGATCTCGACTCTTAACCACCCAACTCTGTTAGTATTTGATCTCAACTCTTAACCACCCAACTCCCAGGTTACTGTCAGGAAGAGTCTATAACATGAACTCCTGCTTCAAATCAAGGGTACAGGTCCCATAGTCAGGTCTTAGAATGGGAAGAGGAGAAGGCAGCTGAAAATACTCAATATTATGTATTTCAGTAAATTCAGCTGGGGATGCCATTTGTAGGTCCAAGGGTTTCTCTTCTGATTTTAGTATTAGTGAGATGGCTTTGCAGTCACTCTAGAATGTGTTCGTAAGTGTGTGACAGCAAGATCTCTGCACCCTCTCCATTTACCAGCTGTGGCCGATCTCTTAGTCACATCCCTGTTTTAATGTGCTCATTGGAAAACTATGTATTACTTTTATTATCATAGCTGCCATTTACTGAATATTTTTGGTGTGCTAACGCTGGTTCGAATGGCTTCATCTGATTTAATCCTCACACCAACCATATGTGCGAGGTCTGGTTATTACCCTCATTTTACAAATAAGGAGACTGAGCACAGAGAATTAGTGATTTGCCCAGGGTCGTGTCAGGAGCTAGTGGCAGAGCTGGGCATTCTGGCTCTGGAGTCTGCATTTGCCCACCTCCCCATACAGTGTCATACAAACAGGAAACTTGAACTGCAGGGCGACATTTTGGAGACAGTATTTCAACACTGTCATAATCTCAAGCATGATCTGTGCTTTTTGACTTGAACTTCTTTAAGGTTACTGGGAAAACGAGGCTTTAGAGAAGATGAGACTGGCTTAAGGTCACACTGTATGTCAGAAGTGTGGCGGAGGGTCCAGGTCTTCTGACCATCCAGTGCAAGCCAAATTATGCTAATTTCCAATTTTTCTCCTTTCTCTCGGTGACTTGTTTGGTGCTACTTCTACCACTCAGGACCAAAGCTGGCTTTAATGGTTTACTCATATGCTTAGTGATGAAATCCTGAAACTTGGGGTTTAGAGGTGAGTGTTTAGAGGTCCATGTGAAGATGCCCTGAATGGTATAGATAAGGACCAAGCGGTAAAGAGTGCCAGCTGAATGCCTGGGCTGGGAATCAGGCATGTTGGAGTTTGAGTCCCGGCCTGCCATTCCAGCTCTGTGACCAAGAGCAAGTCACGTACTCTTTCAAAATGTCTAACCCCCGTCTTCTGAAAGACAAAGACGTCACCACCAACCATGTTAGTAGTTGTGAATGCCAAGAAAGTGCGTGTGAAACACATGTCACAATGTCTGCCATGGAGTAAGTGTTCCAAAAATGGAGGCTATGGTGATTTCAGAGTTCCCTTCCCATCGCTTTTCAGTTCATTTTGGCCTTCTCCCTCGAAAGCACTCCAGTGTTCTGATCCAGCTGATAAAACACCAAACAGTCACATAGTGCTTTAAAAGTGACCCACTGTTGGCCGGGTCCAGAGGCTCATGCCTGTAATCCCAGCACTTTGGGAGGCCGAGGTGGGTGGATCACCCAGCGTAGACAACATGGTGAAACCCCGTCTCTACTAAAAATACAAAAAATTAGCCGGGCGTGGTGGTGGGTGCCTGTAATCCCAGCTACTCGGGAGGCTGAGGCCTGAGGCAGGAGAATCACTTGAAACCAGGAGGCAGAGATTGCAGTGAGCCAGGATCACGCCACTGCACTCCAGCCTGGGCAACAAGAGTGAAAGTCTCAAAAAAAAAAAAAAAAAAAAAAAAGTGACCCACTGTTTTTATAGACTGCATTCCATATGACCCTAACAACCACTGCGGTATAGAAATTCGCATCTCCACTCTCCAGATAAGGATACCAAAGCTCAGAAAAATCAAATGATTTGCCCAGGATCACATAGCTAGTAAGCAGCCCAGCCAGATCCTGCATTAACCTGTTCAACCACTTCCTCTAAGAAAACATCCGCTCAAGGCACACAGGACAACAGCGAAGGACTCAGAGCGGTGTGGCCCCTCGTCAGGGTAGTACCAGTTACCCCCATAGTCCGGCCTGAATACTCCGGTTAGGAATTTTTGTGTCCAATGTCCCAAACCTTTTGAAGCTACATCTTCAAGAAGTGTCCTGCTCAGATGCAGTTCTCCTTGTGAAATCTGCAAGCCCCAAGGGAAGTTACTTTAATCCAGTTTGTTCATGCAAGAACAGACTGGCATTTCATATCCAGAAAAACAATGGACTTGTACTGCAGCTTTTGCCATGCAAGGGGTTCCTGGTGTGCTTTATTAATTCACATCTCAGGCTCCAGCTTCACTATCAGATTTGGAAGGGAAAAAATGACAAAGCTTGCTGAGAAACAGCCTAAGCATGACGGCACAGACCAGGTTTTGACATGGAGACACATTCTCATGGCTTGTGGGCTAAGAGACACCGAGAAAGGATTTTGTTCTTGAAAGATGATTGTTTTAATCCTGGAGATGGAGAGTTTTGACACTTTTAAGTGCATGTTCTGTGTGTAAGAAAGAGTCATTACGGGTTTTTTTCTTTCAGATCTTGCCATGCCTTAAAATTGCTGATGATCAAAATAGAACATCCTGAGTTACAGAAATTCAGCCCTACTGTATCCTGGCCTAAAAATACAGAACAATCAAGTTGATTGTTGGAAATTAGAGGCGAGGGAGGATTGGAAACATGCTAATGTTTACTGAGTGAAATCTTCCCTTCTCAGTGGAGTTGCCTTTGCAGCTGAATGTCACTGGAAGACTCAACAAAATAAGCGGATCCCACTTACCCTCACTCTCTTCTATGCATGCCCTGGAAAGAGAATGAATGAGCCCTTTTTAATTAATCAGCTGGTTTTCTTCCATCTCCTTACTAGTGAGCCATGGGGGTGTTTTGCTGTTAACTGGGTAGCCAGTCTCTTCATGCAGACTTACTTTCAGGAAACTAGCCTCTTGCTTTATGTGAAAACGGGGACCCAACTCAAGATGCCTATCACCGTGTTCTGTTATGTAACAGCTGCATCCGTAGTCCAGCCTAAATACTCACGGTGGGATTGTTGTGTCCTGAGGTCTCTTAACATTTTGAAGCTACATTCTTAAAGAATTGTCATGCTCAGAGAGAGTTCTCCTTGTGAAATCCTCAAGCCCCAGGGGAATCCTTAAGCCAGTTTGCTCTTGCAAGAACAGACTGGCATTTCATGTCACAGAAAACAATGGACTGCCAGTACTCAGCTTTTGCCACACAGGAGTACCTGGAGTGGTCACTACCTGCCAACTGCGTACCCCACTGTCTCCCCAAGGACATAAAAGCAATGTGGGAAAGTATTCCAAAAGACCTTGTCAAACTGCTAACATGAAGCCCCATAGATGCAAAATGTTATATCTTACCTTTATTCTTCTGCTGATTTTTTTTTGAGACAGAGTCTCACTCTATCACCCAGGCTGGAGTCCAGTAGTGTGATCTTGGCTCACTGCAATCTCTGCCATCCAGTTCAAGCAATTCTCCTGCCTCAGCCTCCCGAGTGGCTGCGATTACAGGTATGTAACACCACGCCTGGCTAATTTTTGTATTTTTAGTCAAGATGGGGTCTCACCTTCTTGGCCAGGCTGGTCTTGAACTCCTGACCTCATGATCCACCCACCTCGGCTTCCCAAAGTGCTGGGATTACAGGCGTTAGCCACTGCGCCAGGCTTTTTTTTTTTTTTTTTTTTTTTTTTTTTTTTTTTTTTTTTTTTTTTTGCAACAGGAATTCAGTGGTACAATCTTGCCTCACTGCAACCTCTGCCTCGCAGGTTCAAGTGATTCTTCTGCCTCCGCCTCCTGAATAGCTGGGATTACAGGCATATGCCACTATGCCCAGCTTTTGTTTGTTTTTTTGGTTTTTTTTTAGTAGAGATGGGGTTTCACCATGTTGGCCAGGCTGGTCCTGAACTCCTGACTTCAAGTGATCCACCCACCACATCCTCCCAGAATGCTGGGATTACAGGTGTAAGCCACCACGCTCAGCCTTCTGTTGAATTTTTGAGAAGCATACATAAAGACAATATAAAAAACACTTAGCATATTTGTTTGTCCCTGCTAAGGGCATGGTTGAATATAGAGAGTGTGTGAGTATTTGGTGTATGAGATACATATGATCTTACCAGACTTAAGAAAGAACTTCATTCTTCAGGAAAGATTTTCCCCATAACTGAAGTGTCAATTATTTGAAAAAACTTCTAGGCAGTAGGCAAACACTGTGGCTAGGTATTTATCAAAAATAAGCCAACTTCGGAGTATTGTAACTGGTTAAAATAATCTGGCTGCTTCTTGTGTACATCAGTCACTGACACTGTGAATTACACTAGCATATACAGAAGGATGCAGGGGGTCCCTAAGGAATAACAGTTAGTGAAACCAGTATTTGAGAGTTGCAGTGATTCTTCTGAACTGGCACTTTTCCCAGTTTCAGTGCTTAAATTTACTAACCACTTGAAATATATCACTGCCTGTCACTTCACCAAGTATGTGCCTTTCATTGCAGTCAACAGCTATTTACATCTTTGATGACATGACTGCCACACATCCCCATAGCCCTGGTGTTCTATTCCCTTATTCACAGTTTTGTTGTTGTTGTTTTTAGCCTAGCAGCAATAGGTATGTGCCTGGATGCTTCTCCATGTTAAAGGATGAGTTTGTGCTGGGATCTCCTCATGAATAAATAACTGGCCAAGCCCATGAGGAACAAGAATGTTATATTCATCAGACCCAAGGTAAACAGCCTGCAGTGCGCTTCCTGACAGATTAGCACTGAACCCACTTGAAATCATTAACTCCAGGCACGTGGTAATTAGATGTTCTCTTGTTTGTTTTGAGATGGAGTCTCGCACTGCTGCCCAGGCTGGATGGAGTGCAGTGCTGTGACTCTGGCTCACTGTAACCTTCGCCTCCTGAGTTCAAGTGATTCTCCTGCCTCAGCCTTCCAAGTAGCTGAGATGACAGGCACCTGCCACCATGCCCAGCTAATTTTTTGTATTTTTAGTAGAGACAAGGTTTCACCATGTTGGCCAGGCTGGTCTCGAACTTCAGACTTCATGATTTGAGGTCAATCATGAGTTCTAGGCCACCTCGGCCTCCCAGAGTGCTGAGATTATGGGCGTGAGCCACCGCGCCCCACCTGGATGTTCTTCTAACACCTATAGCCAGACTGTAAAATGAGGATGATATATGAGGAAAGTCAGAAGGATAAACAAACTCAAGTTCAGTTCATTTAGTGAACTGAGCCAAGGGAACAGACTAAGTAAATGGTACAGCCAGGATTGGAACCTATTTTTTTACAAGGTATTACATCATGATGAAACAAACCAAAGAAAAGGTTAGGTAGTATTTTAACGCTAAAAGAGACCAAAGAGTCTTAGTGAATCAACCTTGATGAGATCTGGATTTGAAAAAACTATAAAAGACATTTTGCTTGGAGAAAGTGGAAGAAGTTGGATATGGACTGGATATTTGAGGGTACTGAGGAATTGTTGATATTCTCAGGTGTGGTAAGATTTTGTGGTTATGTAGAAGACTGTCTTCATTTATAGAATGGCCTTATTATTTAAAGACATTTTGAAGGAGTTAGCACTGTATGAGTGGTTGTCAATTTACTTTGAAACAATAAAGCAAAAAATATGTGTGTATATTACATGTGGATAATATAATTAAAGCAAAACACGGTAAAAAGGAATCGTTACTGAATTTAGATAATACCAATTTGGGAATTCATTTTACTTTCATTCAAATTTAATGTAGACATTTTTTTTTCCCCCTGAAAGAGTCTTGCCCCCTCACCCAGGCTGGAGTGCAGTGGCTCAATCTCGGCTCACTGCAACCTCCGCCTTCCGGATTCAAGCAATTCTCCTGCCTCAGCCTGCCAGGTACTAGGTACTAGGTACCTGTCTAATTTTTTGTATCTTTAATAGAGACAGGGTTTCACCATGCTGGCCAGGCTGGTCTTGAACTCCTGACCTCGTGATCTACCCACTTCGGCCTCCACTGGGATTACAGGTGTGAGCCACTGCACCCAGCCAAAAAAATTTTATAGCAATTTATAAAAACATTGGACACCCCTTTAGTTAGGTGGCCTGGGTACATGAAGGATCTTCTTGGATGCCTAGAACAGTTGCAGAAAATAATTTGTCAAGGAGAACTAAGAGTATAAAACTTTCCCTTTGGAGTAGAAGGAAGGAGAGTCTTAAGTAAAGCTGACAAAAACCCCTAACTCACATTCAGTCTAAGGAATGCATTCTGGAAGTGGCATTAGCATCTTGTTAATGCCATTATGTGACTTGGCCCCTGAGCTAGTCTGTTTCCTCCTTAGACCCCAAAATCTCAGTAATCCTTTGGATCAAACAGAGTTTTCTCCAGGTGAAAGTAGTAAGTTTAGGAAAACGTGTGTCTTCAGCTTCTGCTGAGCACTTGCTTGCTTTGTCCGACGGGCAGTTCTCCAGCACCACTGCTGGTCGTCCTCCGTTGCCTCGGTGCTTGATCGTGGGATGCCTCTGGCTTCTCCTGCCTTTACCCAAGCAAAGGATTTTTCTTGTTGTCACGCCCAGAAGTGACAGGGTGACATGTGCCCCTGCCTCTAAATGATGAAGTTGAACCTTTGTCTGGGCAACTTAAGAATAAGAGGAGCCAGGCGCAGTGTCTGACGCCTGTAATCCCAGCACTTTGGGAGGCCGAGACGGCCAAAATCGCCTAAGGTCAGGAGTTTGAGACCAGCCTGACCAACGTGGAGGAACCCCGTCTCTACTGAAAATACAAAATTAGCTGGGTGTAGTGGCACATGCCTGTAATCCCAGCTACTTGGAAGGCTGAGGCCGGAGAATCACTTGAAACCAGGAGGTGGAGGTTGTGGTGAGCCCAGATCTCACCATTGCACTCCAGCCTAGGCGACAAAAGCAAAAACTCCATCTCAAAAAAAAAAAATAAGGGGAGTCTCTGGCATGCTCCCCCATCAGTAACAAATTCAGTGACATCAGTAACAAATTCGGTGACATCCATCTATTTGAAATTTGCCAAAGCTCTGTTTAGACCACTAACTCACTCACAACTAGGTTTCAACTTTTCCTTTCTAGATTGTCTTGGGTTTATTGTAAGAGCGGATTCTGAAGAAAAAATAGACCATAAAGCTTCTTCAGGAAGCTGGTTTCATATGGTGGTTTAGATTTAAATAGTGATTGTCTAGCACCATTTGAAATCAGTGTTCTTGGGGGAGACCAGCTGCACTGCACTGCCAACAGCAAAAGGAATGAATGGGACAGCTCTGAAGTATTTGAGCGCCAAAGCAGGACGGCTGTGAGAACGTGCCTCCCGTGTCGCTGACCCGTTCCTCACCCCTGCCAACAGTGGTGGCATGTATCGCGAATGGCAGTCAGGTCTCCACATGAGCGGATCCAACCGACTGTGATTGAAAGTTTTCCAAAAATCAGTTGCGTCTGTACTGAACATGTAGAGACTTCCTTCTTGTCATTATTCTCTAACAATACAGTATAACAATCATTTGCATAGCATTTGCAATGCGTTGGGTATTACAAGTAATTTAGAGATTATTTAAAGTATACAGGAGGATGTGGGTAGGTTGTATGCAAATACTACACCATTTTCTATCAGAGACTTGAGCATCTGTGGATTTTGGTATCCAAGGGGCTTTCTGGAACCAATCCCTTAAGGATACCAAGGGACGAGGGTAATTGTACGGGATGTCTCTTTATTGGCATTTTATATTTGTTTGTGGAATAAGCCGACAGCACTTAATGGATAGTCACAGACTCGCTCCATCGCGCCTGGGTTCAAGGGCCAAATGTATGCCGGATTTAGTAAGGTTTGGGCCCTCTCAACCCTCACGTCCTCCTGTGACCCCTTAGAGGATGACTGATTTCTTTTGGTGTTCAGAGTCAATATAATTTTCTAGCACCATCTGAAATCGGTTATAATGATTGGGGAAGAGCACCAGGACGCTGACTGATGAGAGGAAATGTATTGGTGACCCCTGGGGCCACAGATAAGTACTAAGAAAACAAATGCAAAGCAGTAATGGAAAGGTGGGTTTTCTTCTTCCAGTTTCTAAGCTGAGTTTCATTGACCTGAATTGCATGTGGTATAATACTAACAAATGGTTATGCTTTATAGAAATTCCGCAGAATTGGTGGGGGGTTTTGTTTTGGTGACGGATACCGAGAAACACTCCTTGGGAAAATCGATGACAGCCTTAGATGATGGGAAAGGAGCAGCGAGGGAGTCGATTCTGTTGTCGCCGAGAATCTGCACCCACTGTCTCTGAACTCTCTTGCCGGACTGAGGACCTCCCTCCAAGGTTAAACAGGTCATTTTCTTACATAAGGAAAAATGGTCCAAAGAATCTGGGTTTCTATGGCTGAGAGAGAACTGTGCTAATCTGTCAGTTCAGTTTAGAGGGCAAAGCGAAGAAAGCAGGTTCTACTTGAACTGGGATCCAAGAATATACCTTTGCTATGGTTGGGATGTTTGTACTCTCCAATCTTATGTTGAAGTGTGATCCCCAGTACTGGAGGTGGGGCCTGGCGGGGGGTGTTTGAGCCGTGGAGTGAATCCCTCATGAATGGCTTGTGCTGTCCTCACTACTGAGTTCCTGCTCAGTTAGAGGGAGCTGATTGTTTAAAAGAGCTACAGGCTGGATGCGGTGCCTCCTGCCTGTATCCCAGCACTTTAGGAGGCTGAGGCAGGAGGATTGCCTGACATTAGGAGTTCGAGACCAGCCTGGCCAACATGGTGAAACCCTGTCTCTACTAAAAATAAAAAAATTTAAAAAAATTAGCCAGGCACTGTGGCAGGTGCCTGGAATCCCAGCTACTTGGGAGGCTGAGGCCAGAGACTTGCTTGAACCCAGGAGGTGGAGGTTGCAGTGAGCCGAGATGGCACCACTGCACTCCAGCCTGGGGGACAAGAGTGAGACTCCATAAGAGCTGGCACTTCCTTCCTTTCTCTCGCTGTTTCTTGCTCCCTCTCTCACCATGTGACACCCCTGTTTCCCTCCCCGCCTTCCACCATGAATAAAACATCCCGAGACCTCACCAGGAGCTGAGCTGATGCCGGTGCCATGCTTGCACAGCCTGCAGAACCGGGAGCCAAATAAACCTCTTTCCTATACAAACTACCCAGTCTCGGGTATCTCTGTATAGCAGCACAAAACGGACTGACACAACCTCACTAGAAGTGAAGTCGTTAGCCTGAAAACAACACTCAGTTTTCTAGGTCCACTAGAAAAAGGGCTTAGGAATGAGCCATCTCAGCCGCTTCTCCTCCCGGGGCCTGAGTGCAGCTCTCCCAGCACGGGTCCTGTGCAGACCTGCCGCCTGCTGCCACCTGCTGTCTCCTCGTGGTATCCTGGAGAACAGCAGGGGCACCTGGTGGAATTCAGGCCTCGTCCTTATTTTCTTTCTGGCCTGGAAAACCCACTGGCCTCACGATCAAGAGATAATATCCATCTACCCTTCTTCAGCTTTCCCCACCTCTCACACTGCCTCCCTCCTTTTCCATCCTGCCTGTCACTTGTCTGGAAAAGGCGTTTTCTGCTCGGGGCTAAGACATGCAGTTTGTAGCCAAAACATTCTACAAGCAAATCCAACGAGAATCAGGATCATCCCGCCACATCTTTTTCTGTCCTATGGTTATTACTTTCCCAAAACTGTCTTTTGCCCTCTTACATATTTGCTGTTTTCTGAGTAATCTTCTTTACTCCCCTGGTTCCAAATACATCCCTGTGTGTTCAGTTCCCTCAAACCAGAGCTCTAGCCTAGGATATTTTTTGAGACCTCTTGCAGATAATAGTTTAGCCTGCTTTTCTAAACTTACCTCAGTTTAACCCATTTACACTTGAGGTTGCAACTTTTTGAATTTTTGCCATCAGGCCTTGGCAATGACCTTGAACAGCAGGACATAATTCCCACAGGCTTAGCGTTCCAATATTGGAACACTAGGCATATAGCCAAAGCCATCCACATTGTCCTCTCCCCAAAGCCAGCTCTCCCTGCTCTGCCCCATGGTGAAAGCTGTGAATACCTTAGGTCTGTGGCCTCTTCCTTCTCCCTCACCCACATCCACACTCAGCACAACTTGTTGCTGTTCTCTCCCAATTATCTCTTTAGAATCCACCCCTTTCTCTGCTCCTCCTAGACGGCTTTCTGGGCCCACCCCTCACCATGAGTCTAGCTTTGCTGCAGCCACCAGTTAATCTTTGTAAAATACACACGTGAGCTGGGTACTATGGCTGGTGCCTTTAATCCCAGCTACTCGGGAGGCTGGGGCAGGAGGCTGCTTGAGCCTAAGAGGTTGGCTAAGGCTGCAGTAGCCATGATCGCTTCACTGCACTCCAGCCTGGACGTCTTAAAAAAAAATTGTTTAACTACATGACCTTGCTCTTTGTACCTCACTTTTAGCTGAACTCTTTTAAGTGTCCCAACCAGGTACCAGACCCTTCATGACCCCACGCCTGCCTGTATCACCATCACCTGGCTGTGCTTCCCGGGGCCTGTTTTCTGTGCTCACCCAGCTGCTTCCTGCCAACACTTAGGTACGCTGGCATTTCTCAGCCTGTGTCTGTGCTGTTCCCTCTGCCCACATCTCCCCTTTCCTCATCCTCCTCATCATCTAGGGACCTCCAGTCCCCAGGGACCATCATCAGCTAGGGACCTCCAGCCTACAGCTCCTGGCTCAGGTGTAAACTTATCTAGTAAGCCCTCCTCTGCCTTCCACATCAAGGCTTAGAGCCCTGGCAAGGGCTTTCTTCTCTGTGCCCCTTTAGAGCTTGACAGCGCTTCCCGCATTCCACTCTGATGACTGATTACCTACTAGGCTTCTCTGCAAGGCTGGAAGATCCTTGCTCCTGGGAGGAACAGTAGACCAGAACAAGACGTGCTGTGTACAGTCCATTCTTAGGTTCCATGTGAGCTATCCTTGTGTAGGGTCTGTGGCAAATCTTCCTTCTGGGCTGCAGCCTCCACCTTCCATAGTTTCTCTCCATTTTCCTTTGCTATGTGCATGAAGAAGAAAAACTTCCAATGATGACCAAAATAAAATCAAAGAAAATAACCCTGCTTCAAAGAACATATCTAAGACTGTAAATACGATTTTGATGTATCTTCCATTATGGATTACCCATGTGGTTTTTTTCCTTCTATATGCATAAATAGGAATTAATAAGTTAGCCATGAAAAGCAGAATAATTTAGGATTGTTGTCCTCGTTTCATAGAAGAGCAAACAAAAACAGATGTGCCTTAGCCAAAAAGGGCAGCAAATTTATGCTAAGCAGACTGAACTCCCATTAAAAGTAATCAGTCATAGTGACCAAGGGCCAAACACGTGATCACCCCCCATCCCTCCCAATAGCTCTGAAGGGTAGGTAGTATTTCCCCAGCTTGTACATGAGGAAACAGATGGACAGCAAAGTCAAGTAACTTGCCTGCAATGCCATGGCTATTCACCATGAGAGTCTGAATTATGAATCAGGTGGTGGTGGTAGTAATGATGACAATAGCAGCTTATCGTCATCATTGAGCTCTTATTTTGTGCTAGACACTTGCTAAGCATTTTGTATGAATTAGCTTCTTTAATATGACTTTCAAGACAGCCCTTTGAGGTCAGTAATTTTTTAGCATCATTCTCATTTTGCTGATGAAGAAACAAAGAGAAGAATTAAATAATCCAAGATCATCTAACTGACATTTCCAAGCAGGAGCACAAACCCAATCTCCGTGATTCCGGAGCCTGCGCTCTTAATCAGCACTGCTCATTTCAGTGTGGGAGATGGTATAAATGGGTGTGTTCACTTGTCAGCCAGCCTTTTCTGTGGTCCCCTGGGTCCCCCACTGCTGGTATTCATGCCCTGCGCCATTCCCTTCCCTGGAGTGTGGACTGGACCTAGTAACCTGGCTTCTAATGGAGGGAATATGTCAAAAGTGATAGGATGTCACTTCTGAGACTAGGTTACAAATACACTGATTCTGTTGTCTTCTTCCTCAGGCTTGCACCCTCACGACGTGCTCACTCTCTCCCCCGCTTTTTCCCTCTCTCCTCTCTCAGCAACACACTCAGGAAAGCCAGCCACCATGCCGGGAACTGCCCAGTGGAGAGGCC